TTTTCATAAAATTCAATGTACGTTCTCCTGCAGTGCAGTAAAAATGCGCAAGCCACTTTTGCAGAGAAATTAAAATTAAAAATCATGAGTTTTGTCTATTTCATGCTTGATCAGACAAAGCTTTTAAGGCCGGTAGAACTGTAAATAAGATTGTCAATTTTTCGTGGAGGGTCATTTGAAATTACGCTTACAGTCCCTTTAAGATAAATTAAGATTAAACTTGTATGAAATGTCTACTGAATAAGACGTCCAAGTACATATGTTGACAAAAATTAAACATGTAGAACATGTCTAATCTTCTTTAATTAAAATCAAACGCGTGAAAATTATCTACTTAAAGTGAATTAAACATTAACTATTCCCCAAAAAAAATAAAGTAATTTCGTGAACTAGGAAGAAATAAAAGAACATGAATGATGTACAAAAGCGTTGAACAAAGTTTTACAAATAGTAAAATAATTACAGAGAAGCTACAAATAACTGTACATTGTACATTTACTTCTCATAAGGTATTAACATCAGAGGATATACTTTGCACCAGGGCTTAGAATCCATTGAACATTTTAGTTTATTGGATACAGATCCGGATCCAAGCAGCAAAATGTCAACCAAAAATATTTTTTAAATTTTTTTTTCTCATATTACACATTTTAGTGTCAACAACTAAACCCTAAAAAATCATTTAATAGTAAATCAAGTTTCCGCATAATATATTGCAAACACAAAAATTTCCGGTATAATATTTCTTGGAAAAGAAATTAGCATCATTAAAAAAAATATTTAATAGCTGCATCCAGATTCCGATCCGAGTTAAAATGAAATGGATCCCAAGAACTGCATGAATGTCCAATGTACAGTTTACAACTTCTAACTTGCAATGCACATAACGTTTTTTACATTAATTTACAATTTACACTGTAAAAATTGTAAAATGTGCTGGTGTTAAACTAAAGCAAAGAATGTTCTCGTAGCTTTGTTTAGAAAACTATGTTTATCGTACACTACTAGTGGTGGCCTAAACAGTGCATGATCTCGAAGTTTTGAAGAAAAATCTCTGTACATTATACATCGTACATTAACAGGTGTTTATCTATAGCAGCGCATGATCTCGTAGTTTTGTGAAGAAAAACTTCTCCAGGTGTGTAGCACAGTTGAAGTATTCTGTTTCAGGGGAATTGTATGCCTGATCAAAAACCAAAATATAAATAAATCAATCAATCAATCCATCACCAAATAAGAAGGTAACTCAATCAATACATAAATCAATCAATCAACCAATACAATCTATGCGAGTGAAGATCTCAAGATCCCCATTCCCCATCTTAAGATTAAGGAGATAATATCGGCTTAGATCATCAAAATAAAAATAATGGAGGCCAAAAAACATTTCTACCTTACAGTTGGTGATCATTCTCTTCATATCTGCGATGAAGAGCCTTCTGTTCACATAGTAGTTGGCCTTCAACCGTTCACCCATCGACTTCATATCCATCGGGAACTTGATGTGGTCGTAGTAGTCAGGAACAGCCTGTAGTAAACAAATTAGAAAACCAGTTTGAAAAACCCCAAGAAATGTGCGAAGTAAAAAGTCAGCAATCTGCATTTAATTTTCTCGAAAAATACAATATAAAGTTCCGAAAAACATTTTATTGGAAAAAGGAGGCGGTCTTTTACCGATATTATCTAGTTGTTGTTGGCTGGCTATGTACCTTTCTATCAACAGGGTTAAGGAACGGCCAGGCATACTGGAAGGTCTTGCAAGCATGGAGAATCACCTTGAGGGTGTTGTACAGGGTCTCCTGGTCCATCTTGTCTTCACTCGACCTAAAAAGATTTTATTTTAATGCATAAAAATCAAATTCGATTATTTTGACGTTTTTAATAATCTGTTGATTGTTGAACTCAACAGGTTTTGTTGACCAATGCACCTTTTCCATGGACTTAATACAGCATTGGTGTCTAAATATACCTGAGAATAAATTCCAGAGTACTCCCTGCAATGCGAGGAAAATGATAAGAAATGCACATGCTAATGATCAAGCACTAATGATTAAGCAATGATGATTAAGCACTGATGAGAATGAACCAATAATAATAATTTAGAAGCAAGTTTCGATTATCTACAATAACTTCAATCGAAAACAATCATAACATCATGACTCACAGATTTAATTAATAGGATAGACTGATGGGCGTCGTTTACAGGTACGTTTTTAAACATTTAAAGTTTTAGACTTTTCAGAGGTTACACAAATCCTATTTGAAGTTGTATGCTAGACAAGTTTACTGTCATAACATTATGCAAAACTTTATTCTGACCGAAGGTATTAACCAAAACGATTTTTTTTTTTTTTTAAACCTTTAGTTATGGTGTGAGGTGGAGTGTATCCTGTCTCATGGATACCTGGGATACCGGAATATTAGGATATATATACCTTTATAGTTTTAGCTTGAGGTGGAGTGTATCCTGTCTCATGGATACCTGGGATACCGGAATATTAGAATATATATACCTTTATAGTTTTAGCTCGAGGTGGAGTGTATCCTGTCTCCAGGATACCTAGGATACTCTCTACTGGAATATTAGGATATATATATACCTTTATATTTTTAGCTTGAGGTGGAGTGTATCCTGTCTCAAGGATACCTAAGATACTCTCTACTGGAATATTAGGATATATATTATATATACCTTGTATTTTTAGCTTGAGGTGGAGTGTTTCCTGTCTCATGGATACCTAGGATACTCTCTACTGGAATATTAGGATATATTTACCTTGTATTTTTAGCCTGAGGTGGAGTGTATCCTGTCTCAAGGATCCCTGGGATACTCTCTACTGGAATCTCAGTTACTCCGTCCCTGATCATTAAACAGTTAAACAGAATGAAACGCATCCTCAGCAATTCACATTATTTAACACCCCATTTTCTCTTCCCGACCGACTGACAGCTCTAATGTTTATCTACACCATTTAAATTTTCTTTAATTAGAAAATAATTACTGTTATAAGGCCATCATCGCTGTAATTACAAAAAAAAAATGAAAAACAATCGTAATAACACGTTCGTTTTAGAATCGTGTTTGCCTATTGTTTCTGTAAGGATCAAAATTTGGCATAATGAAAGTTTTAAAAAAAATATAAGCAAAAAAATGATCCGAAAGCGAACCAACAGAATGCATATTGAATATAACTACCTGAAGCAGGTTAGTCCCGAATGAACCTTCCTTATCTCCGCCTGTTTTCTCTCCACCAACTTCTTCAAGATCTCCTTCTGACGGCGGACAACGGCGGTGAACTCTACATACACGATCTTAGGATTCAGCTCACATCCCATCAGGGTAGCACCCTCGTAATCCTAAATTATTTTTTTTACGTCATTTCAGTTTAAAACATCACTGCTAAAATGATTTATTAATGGGAAGTAATTTCAAGTAACCCTCTTTGCAAAGATTGCAATGGACAATTCACAACACGGTAACATGGAAAAGTATGTCCTTTTGCTAGGTTAAAAAGTTTATATTTTTAGATAATTCCTGTATGTTTTTCTGGAGTAGAAATGGGAAAGTCACTAATGTAGAGAACCGCAATTGAAAATAATCAGTTAAGATTGAAAACTTGATCAGTTAAGATTAAATACTTGATCATTTAAATATTTTATGGGTACCGTGGAGAATTGGGCATTGTAAATTGTCATCTTAGCCAGGAGGGTCACTCGCAAATACGCTTACAGTCCCTTTTAAAACGGATTTTTGAATATTGTCCTACTTGCTGGATTCGCTGGATAGGATCTGCTTTATTCGCCACTCATAAAACTATAGTGTTGCAGATGCAGTGTAAAAAATATAAAGGACAGATAATTTAGATATTTAACAGATACAACACATTATTATTATTATTATTATTAAAGGACAACCCATCATTCAATGAAATAGGGGTCGGCGCTCCTGACCGTTGAAACAACGTGTCCACGGGGTTTACACCCTAGGGAGAAGACTTATTCTAGGCGGTCTGCCCAGGACAGCTCCAGACTGGAGACTCTCCAATTACTAGGCGATCCGCCCAAGACAGCTCCATTTCTGGAGACTCTCCAATTACTAGGCGATCCGCCCAAGACAGCTCCATTTCTGGAGACTCTCTGATTACTAGGCGATCTGCCCAAGACAGCTTCCATTTGGAAACTCTCTTAAAAACCAGGCGGACTGCCCGAGACAGTTTCACTTCCGGAAACTCTCTGAAAATTCAACTATGTATTTCATCTAACGTTAGGGTCACTATTTTTGATCTTTCATTATTAACTAAGCTCCCAATTACCTTTTTCAACTACTCGTGAATCTTGACCAGCCAGGCCTCCAGGATTATAGCCATTCTTCTTCCGCGCTCCAGGAGCTGTCCTTGATCTGCTCCGTCTCCGCCAAGATATGATCAGAGAACTGCTTGTGCCGTGCAGGGGCCCCTCTTCAGAACCTGTACCTTGTACTGGGTTAACCCAAGGCTCCGCCTTTGTCTGGACACAATTGGGCAGTTAAACAGAACATGGGATTCTCGAAGCACTGCATGTTTACTCCGCACAAGTCTGCAATGTGGGCACATGTCGTACCGCCGGCCATAGCGGTTTTTGAACCGGTTTCCCAGCAGAGTGTTGCCGGCTCTCACACAACATAGAGTCTTGCTTGCAAAAGAGTCCGTTACGTGGGTTTGAAGCTTGAACCAACTCTCGGGTTGTGGTACAACCCCCATTGTGGTGTGTTCTGACTTTACAGCCATAACATGGCTAACTGACCGCTCTCGGAGTGTGTCGTTCAACTCCTTTCTTGTACTATAGGCTGTTATGATGCCGATGTCCCGTTGTATTCTCATCCAGTTCTGAACCCATTGGTCCTCCGGTCTAGTAAGAAGGAATTGCAGGATCTTGTGTACGGTTGGGTTGTTCCTGTACTTGACGGCTGTCCAGATATAGTTTGCCTGTCTGGCCTGTATTCTGTCCTGCATAGGGACTAGTCCTGCGTCCATCCATGCCAGCACTCTTGACGACGAGCTGGGAACTTGGAGAATGAAGCGGCCAACCATATTCTGTACGCGCTCCAGCTCCTCAACTGTTTTCTTAGATATGACTAGAACCTCAGCACAGTATAAGATTGATGGGATAGCGCAGCACTCCCACAGTCTCTTGGCTATTAGAGCCCTGTCAAGGCCGGCACGTGTTAGGTTCATTATTGACATGGCACAACCGGTTGCCCGTTTCAGCATAACCGCCTCATATTGACCCACCATGTTTCTGCCACGGATCTGCATGTTTACCCCTAGGTATTTAGCTGACATCACCTCCTCAATTGTTTCCTCTTCGACCGACCAATCAATGGGATTTACAGAGTTGGTCAGGATAAAAGTTTTCGACACCGCCAACTTCATGTACATGTCTTTGCAGAACCAAGCCACAATCTCATGCAACCTGTCCATTACATGTATGGGGGACCCGGCTATCAGTACCAGGTCATCTGCGAAAAATATTGCTGATAACACAATATCGCCCAACCGGAAACCCAGTTTAGAATTATGCAGTGCGTCTCCCAACCCTGAGACATAGAGTGCGAAGAGCATTGGTGAGAGGGAGCACCCCTGCTTCACACCCTTCGTAAACCAGATTGGCGCAGACAAACGTGTCGGCAACGTTAACTGTATATTGTCATTACAATACATAGACTGTATCAATGATAATACTCTTCCTCCAAACCCTATCCGGCTTAATTTGACGTACAGGAGCTCTCTGCATATTGAGTCGTATGCTTTTGCCAAATCACAAAAGGCGATCGAGATCGACCTGTGTTGTCGTTTAGCCTCTCGAATAATCGCCAGGATTGCAAATACGCAGTCTGTTGTGCTGCGGCCCGACCGAAACCCATACTGCACTGTTCCGTAAAAACCCTCCTCTTCACAAATAGCATCCATCCGTTTATGGAGGAGTTTTGTCAGTACACTAAGGAATAGGTTTGGGACCGTCAGTGGCCGTTTCTCGCTCACCTCCAGTGAAGGTGTCTTCTTATCTATCAAGGTCATTTTTCCGGTCAAGAGCACAGACGGCACTTCACCAGACTCCAGGACTTCGTTTATCACTTCTGTAAATGTTTGGATAAAAGGCATGCTAGCATGCTTCAGCATCTCAGCTTGGACCCCGTCCACTCCTGGCGCTCTGTCCGACTTATGTGACTTTATAAGATCGGTTATTTCCGCTACCATCGCTGGCTTACATACATCTGATTCGTACATTTTCTCCTCCCGCTCTTTTGGAATCCATTCTTCGTAATTTGAGGATTCAGCAACCCTTATTTGCCGTATGATCTGTTCTCCTCTGGATTCAAAGATTGGGGAGCGCATGCCACAGAATTGCATCGCCAAGTGGTTCAGTGCAAAGTCCTCAATCCTCCTTATATCCGTAAGCAGTTTTCCGTCCGCATCCTTAAGTGCTGTTAGTTTTCCTTTCTTTTTCTGGGTTCTCTCATAGAGTGACCAGAACTGTCTGTTATTGGTATCCAACTGCGCTCTCATCCATGCTCTCCTGTCCAGCTTTATCAGACTTGACCTCCTTTTGATTTCTGCGACCATCTCCTGATACCCCGACACAGCTTCATCCAGCTGTGTTTGGTCATCTGCCATCCAGGCTTCACCATCACGTAATTTTTGTGTGCGCCGGATAGATAGTCTGCGCTGTTTCCGGTCCGCCTCTTTCTTTTTGGCGTTAAGTTTCTTGATGCTTCTTGGTATCCGTCTGACTCTACGTTTCTGCCTGTTAGGCTGCGGGTACGCCTCACAGTTAGCTCTAATCAGAATTTTTTGTAGGTTATCTAACTTCTCCGCTGTTGAACATTCAGCCCAGTTTACCTTACCAAGTAGCTCATTCATCAAGTTTGCTGCGAGAGATTTGTCCCTATCTTTCGGTAGATGTACCAGGCTGTTTGGCCTCGCCTTTGGCACTGGGTTTAAACCTGACATGTTAATATCGAGGCGTAGGGCAACGTGGTCACTGCCTGCGAGTAACTCCACATCATCATCAACGCACATCCTCAGTACCCCTGGCAGCACCATCTTCGATACTAGTGCATAGTCAAGAATTGTGCTGGAAGTTGGTGTGATACGCGAGAACAGACCCTCACACAGGTCCCGATCCCTATTCAGTATTGCTAACCCATAGTCTGTAGCAAACTCTAGAAGTAATCGTCCATTACTGTTCACTCCTGGCCTATTTCCAGGTATCCCCTCCGGAGCATCCCCTATGTGTGCGTTGTAGTCACCGATAACTACGCAACCATATCCATCCTGCTCCAGACTGGAGATTTCATTTCCTATACACCCGTACAGCTTCCTATTCCAATCTTTATATGCCGTGCTGCCGGCCACTTCAGCCGCCATATACACCGAACATATGGCTAAATGAAGGTTGTGGATTATGATCCATGTCCTTTCATTTTCCACCCAGGGTTCTGTGTTCATCGGAGACCAAGGTGAGTGAATAATCCTGTCTGAAACCAGGACCATTTTTCCTCCACCATTTTTATCTCCGTAATTGCGCTCTCTGTAATATTGGGTCCAAGGGCTAAACACACTCAAGTCATTATTTGCACCGAAACGAAAGTGGGTCTCATCCACAAACATTAGGTCTATTTGCTCTTCCTCCATCACTTCTGCAATTTGTTGTTGCTTTAGAACACATCCTAACCCATTGCAGTTCCAATAGCATAGCTTTAGCGGGGTCGTTGCCTCTGGCAGCGCTGGTTTCTTTCTTAGCCTCCACGCCTTTGCCCTGGAGGCACTACGTTGGCTCATGTTCTCCAGTACCGGAAGATTTCTACCCCTGCACTTCCATTACGTGCCTAGCACTATTCCCATAAGCATGATACCTTCACACTGAAACGTTCCACAGTTTTTGTGATCACCAATTCACTATAAATACATCATTGTTTCATATCATTTAAGGGAAACTTTTCACTTAGGTTAAGATCTGAAAAACACAAGATTAACAGGACAATAGGACAGTTGGGAAAGTAATATCGATATCTTTCTCATTGTTACTCAGATACAGTTTTAAAATATGAACCGAAACAGCTTAAACCATTGACACTTTTGATCATGAAACGTCGATATCTTTCTCATTGTTACTCAGATACAGATTTAAAAGATGACCCAAAGGTAATACCGATATCTTTCTCATTGTTACTCAGATATAGTTTTAAATATGAACAAAACAGATTAAAACATTGACACTTTTGATCATGAAACGTCGATATCTTTTCCATTGTTCCTCAGATACAGATTTAAAAGATAACAGGAAACAAATTAAACCATTGATTATTGGCGACAGAACCATGAGATGTCGATATCTTTCTCATTGTTACTCAGATACAGATTTAAAAGATAACAGGAAACAAATTAAACCATTGATTATTGGCGACAGGGACAATGAAGGAGATTGCCAGAATTAAATACTCTTGATCTACGTTATATCCGGCTCATTGGAACTCAGACTCATGATTGAGAAAACCAAAACAAATTAACCCTGACTAGTAGTGGGAGAACCAACGAAGGAAATTGTCAGGGTTCAACACCTTTGATTAACTGGCATGTGTACCTATGTCCTCATTATCTGAACTCTGTTTCTAACTATTCAATCCATGTTTTAACACATCAACAACAATAATTGTCTACCTATTCCTTGAATATTAATATTATACCCACTTTATTGTATACTTTCCACTACATAGAATATGGGTTATAAAATCATAATCATCCATAAAAGCTAATCCCATAATTAATCATAAAAATGCTTGAATGACTCCCATCCGTGCTCGCTGATCACTTTGCTCCTGAGAGCTCTGTCGGTTACCCCATGTAGCCTCTCTGCGTGACCCACTGCACCACATTGCTCACACTTGTTTCTACTGTATAAAAAACAGTCCGCCTTTGAGTGTGCTGGGCTTGCACAAATTATACAGAATTCTGATTGTTTCGACGTCCCGGCTACCGGCTCGGGATCACTAAATAACCCAACTGACGGACTTTGTGGCACAGACACGTTTTCTTCAAAAACTGGGTCACCTACCCGCATGCCTTGTAGCATCTGTAGAATCATGTCCATTTTCTTATCCTGAGCCTCCACTTTTCTGTGTAGCGATTTTAGACTCTCCATGATCGCTGTCTGGTTAATGGATGCTTCCACACTGTCCGCTGTTAGGCCCATAAGTGTTTGGTTAACACTATCCAGGGACTCAAAAGTATCATTTAACCTTGGTGACTGAGGTGTCTCATCATCTGACTCACTGTCACAGGTTTTCCGTCCTGTCGGTTGTTGGGCCCTTAGATCAGCTCTCAAAGCTGCCAACTGACGTTTGTGTGTCCTTGACATAGCCGCCTCGATAATTAGATCCATGTCAACCAAGTCCTTCAGTACCTTGACAACCCGTACTGGCTCCTTTGCGCAGTCAACGTTAGCAAGGGTCTTGGACAGCTGGCCTTGTTTATGTCTTATCTTGTGACAAGCGTCCTTGTATAGTGCCGATACGGCTATGCACTCTACTGTGCACTTTCTCGTCGCAGCGTACTCTTTCATGGACTTTGCGCACCCCGGCTCGTTGTACATGTAGTTAAAATATTTCGGGATTTTGTTACTCTTAATTGTTATTAGGTACGCCATATTGCCTTTCCTAGATATTTTTGTCAACTAATTACCTTATTTATGCAGCTTTAAGTCGCAAACATTTTTCACTTATGTTAAAAAAAATCTATTAAATCAGCTGATATCCTGTAGTGTACATTTACGTACGAGGTTTCGTGGCTTCTCGTCGTAATCATTCAATGTCGTCTTACACATTTACACATTCACATAACCTTAATTGACGAACGTCTGAACCGAAACCATTATCCATTAGAGCGGGATCATTTTTAATTCTCAGGAAGCAAAATAAATCGGTTATTTTATTCATGCTCATAACTAGTAACATTTGACAATCTTCAGATATATTTGGCTTCATAAAAGAATAGATCGAACATCATAAACTAAGCATACATTTTTTGCCATGTATCGTAAAAATAAAAATAAAATAGAAATAACAAATCTACTGCTCATTTGTTATCCTCATGGAGCAAAATAAATCTCGTAGAATTCATATTTTTCCAACACAAAACCTTTATGTCGTCTTTGCCTGACTGTAATCTTTTGCTGTACTTAGAATCCGATAAACATTTATTCCAACACTAAACATTTATTTCGTCTTCGTCGGACTATAATCTTTTACTCAATTCTTATGTATATTATTCTATTGGTAATGCTTTCTGTACTTAGAATCCGATAAACATTTATTCCAACACTGAACATTTATTTCGTCTTCGTCGGACTAAAATCTTTTACTCAATCCTTGCGCATATTGTTCTAACATTTATGTCGTCTTCATCGGATTATAATCTTTAACTCCCCCTTATGCATATTCATTTCAACACTCATTTATGTCGTTTATATCGGACTATAAAATCATAAAATCATAAGACTATATCATAAAATTTCTATATATTTGCAAAATAATCATAGCTTGCATAAAAACGTTATATATCTTAACTAATTAACATTAGGCATAAATAGTTTCACAGCAAATTCATAAAATTGAGATTCAAAATAGTTTCACAGCAAATTCATAAAATTGAGATTCAAAACTAATAAAACACTGTTTTCTTAGGTACAGTACCAATAAATACAAAAAACTATTGTTAAAGCTTATCCGGTTGGTTATTTGAGCTAAAACTTTTTGGCCCGACCAAATCTACCGTAGCCAAGGTTCCTTCCTCTGCCTCGTCTTCCTTGAAATCCTCCTCGGTTCTGGTTCCCAACTACACCATGCTGTTGGTCCGCGGCCATGAAATGACCAAACGCTTCAGGTCCATGGAACGTAATTATCTTGAGACGTTCATCCTGGGTAACCACGTCATGAAGCCTGGCTGCGTGTCCCTTGACACCGCAATGATTACAGGTTTTATCAAAATCACAGGATTCTTGCTTATGACTAAACAGTCCGCATTTCAGGCACCTTTGCTTGGTGTTACAATCGGTCAGCTTGTGGTCATCAACCTCGCAGTATGAGCACATAAACCTTTGAGTTTGCGTCATCTCTTCATCCTCCACAGGATTCATTCTGTTTGCGATCCTTTGCAGCAGCTTTAGAGTCTCATCCACCGCTATGCACTCACTTGTGTGTTTGTCCATCCTAGCGTGGACTCTACTGACACTTTCCAGAATTTCTTTACACGTCTTCAACACCTGGTCTATTTTAGCATCTGACGAACTTGCTTTGTCCACTATGATATCCAGTTTATCTCCCGAGCTATTACTGGCTTTCAAGATAGACCCTATCTTCCTATCCGACGCATTGATCGCCGTGCAAACGGTGGTCTCCATCATACTACAGGTTTTCAGGATCTCTCCAAACTTGTCCTCAGCCCCATTGGATTTTATCCCTTCACTTTTTGGTTTGGTTACATGGTGGTCTGTTGTCGACTGCCTAACCATCAGGTTCTTAATTATATCGTCCTTCAATTTGGCTCCAAAGGTTTTCTCTTTAAACAGGCCTTTCTCATACATTCTTTGAATTACTTCCTGAATTGTCCGGTTCTTGGTCTCCGTGTCGAACTTGACCTCCTTCTTTACCAGCTCACCGATCCTTTTCAGCAGGTTCTCTCTGTCCCCAGACACCTCCGGTACTATCTCTACAGTCATAGCTAGTTTTGAGGCCTTCATTTACAGGGTATATGTTTAACAAACATTAATTTGATCGCTAAAAATATATTTGAAATGCTAACATGTCCCATGAATAATTGTCGGTTTAATTACTTCTATTTTATAAGCATCTTTTTAACAGTTTAAATTTAAAATCAATATAGCATTTAAGTGTCAAAAATTAACAATTGAATTAGTCTAACCGTTAAATGGTTTCCCTCAAAACATATACCCCTGCCTTAACCATCTCCTTCAGCATTGACAACTGGGTATCCGATGCTTCTATTCTGTAGCATGCTTTGGCTGCTTCACCATCCCTGATAATAACGACATACTCCGTCATTTTGTTGTCTAGGGTGTAAGAGCCTTCCCGAAACTGAGGATTAATTTGACTGTACTACCATGATTTCAGCTGTAAGATGACGTGTCATGCACGTTGTACTTCTTGTACCAATCCTTAGAAGACGACCCATAATGCAGGGCGAACCTTATCGCATTCTTTTTATTTTAAAACCCATCTTTCCACCTTTTAAGATTTTGGCTCTGCTATTCAATGATTGATTTTCCATGAATATTACCAAATATTTTCAACCCGTGTAAATCCCAGGATGTACAACTCATAATTCCAGGTTCCAGGTCCAACTCAATTCCGTCGTATCTCCTTGCACAGTTATCCCTCTTGGGATCACATTATTCAATTCAACATTCTACATATTTTGTGCATCATTAAAAACCATTCCCTACATATAGCTCTTATTTAGCTATTACTCTATTATTATTATTCATGTAGCAAAAATCTCTCCTGGCGTCCATATCTTGATTTATGCCTGTTACAAATTATGTTTATTATGATTCAGTTCCGTCGTATTTCCTTGTATATTTAACCCTATTTTGGTCACATTTTTTAATCTCTCTACGACGATATAAAAATATTTATTCTATTGAATATCATTCAAACATTCCTTCCGTCTAGCTCTTATTTAGCTATTATTCAGTTTTACCCATGTATTAGGTTTACAAAACATTTGAGTGTATATTTATTTCATCGCATGTTTGAATGGCATTTAAATAATCCATCCATATGGCTCTTAATTGGTTATTACTCTTTGTTTAGCACGTATATGTTCAACAAACCTCATATTTTACTGAATAGCCTTAAAAACCATACACATTGAGTAGTAATCAAGTATTCCATCCACTTAGCTCTTATCCAGCCATTGTTCCATCCATATGTCTCTTAATTAGCTATTACTCTATGGTCATCCTGTGTATGTATATTAAATCATTTATTTTAATTGCATAATCTAGAACAACATCAAACTGCACTTTATTGAGTAAAACTATACATATAGTTCCTATTTAGTTATTACTCTGTGACCTGTATATGTATATTTAGCAGGTTGTTTAATTTAATTGTATAACAAGCCCATCTGGCCCACAATTAATGATGTTCATGCTTGGGACGGATAATGAACGTTGGCTCTTACTGCCCATTGTCGTCCTCAGGATACTCTTCCTGGTTGTTCTCAATTCCCCATTTGATCAGATTACTCCGATCACCAGATTACTGAAAAATATAATCATAGACTAAATCCTGACTTTTAATGACAGTACTTAATTCTCTTGACGTTAAACATGAAGTTAACTAATTGATTGATTGAATGATTGTGAAAATGTGATTGAATTAAGTTTGTAAGTAATGATTATTAGAATGTCAGCACCGTTGATAATGAAATTGATGATAAATTAATTATGAAATTAGGATGGAAATAAAACCGGGATATATTACTATCAATCCCGCCAACCTTTACAGCTAGAAGTCCCGCATCTGGAGAATGTGATCCCTTTTCTTCTCTTTTAATATTTTGTTTGTATTTACTGTATGAAAAGGTTGTCTAACCGACCTGTCAGGTTGTAAATGTAGACTCTGGACTCCTGAGCTTCGTAGATCACTGAAACTCCATTCCTCCGGGTCAAAGGTTGATATCCCGGATATGTTATCCGTAGAATATAACCCGGAAATACCGGATCCGGTTCTGTCACCTCCAACTATCTGACAATCTATCCGTCTGGATAGACTATGAAGTTTTAGGTCGTCATAAAAAATTAAATTTTTTTTGTATTATA